GGTTGGTAGAATCTTTTTTAAACATTATCTGCCAATTACATCTGCCACCCTTCTCCAAATCTGTGCCCCTACCTGCCCCCCCCCCAAAAAAAAATTTCTAGACACGCCACTGACTCAGAAACAAGTCTTTTGCCCGGGTAACTAATAAAAACCCATCTGAAGCTTAGCACAGTCGTCAAGGCTGAGCTAAAGCTTGGTGCCCGTTTTTGCTGGTAAATTTCACTGAATGTTTGTATTTCAAAGAATTAAAGTTTAAAGTGCTCTGAAGAGCGGAGGCCGTGTGGCTGTTACTGTAGAACCTGTGGGAGGAGCTACAATCCTGAGAATGATTGACGGCATCCTGCTGAAACTGCGTTGCAGCTTCTGGGATTGGGTGTGGCATTAACCCTTAACCGTAGGAACACGGGCGCATACATGAGAAGGAGGGGGAGCGGGTCTTTATTGGTGAGGGGCAAATGCAGCCTGCTCTTATCTTTCCCAGCTTGGATGCAGTTCTTTAAAAAATGTTTTTTAAATTCCAATATCCCCCCACCCCCTCTGCGCCACCACACAAACCGGATAACAGGAATGTGCTCATACCTGCCGTCTCTGTCCTTACTCTTTTAGTTTTGTTTCTTTTTAATCAGAGAACATCCTTTTAGGGACTTTTCCTATAAGCTGTACCGTGTACAGTCCGAGTAAAGCAGTTGTTGCAGAGAACAGCAGTTTCCAGCTTTGCTAAAAGTTTCCAGATGTGGAACAAGCTGTTGACTGCTGTCCGAAGTATGGCACATCCTTTGTGCTGTGTAATGACACACTCACGAAAAACACAGCCTGAGATGTACATGTGTGACTGTCTTGTATAACTGTGGTAAATTCATGGCATTGCGTCGGCGTTATCTAAGAGCACAGCTCCTTCCTGGCTCTTCTTTGTGGCGGAGGGAGGATCTCGGAATGCTGCCAGCTGGTGACAGATGCAGGGCTTCACTGAACCTCTCCAGCAGCGAGAAACACAGGAAGACGAGTTACCGCAGTCAACATGCCTCAGGTAGGTAAAGACAACTTCTTTTAGTGCCGACATGTAAAATTGGACCTCTTGGCAGCGGACGTTTACACCGTCGGCTCTTTAACCGGGAAAAGGTGGTTTGGTGCGAAATCAATATGTGGAATTTTTTTTTAAAAATGGCCTCTGTGCGCTTCACGGGGAAGCGACGTGTCACACAAGGCGTCAGATTATCAGCGGGGGGACTGTGTTTGGATACGCAGGTGTAAATACTTATCATTCAGAAGTGACTGAAACATCAGCAGTGGATTATTCTCGAACTTTTTTTCGGGGAGAAACTTCCAGAGGTATGCGGCCCCTCCCCGAAAAGAAGTGCTAAGCGCAGGGTCCTGCCGCTCCTCCACGACGAATTCAAAGTGGTAACAGTACACGCGTGTAATTCATCAGTTTTGTGCTAATTTGTAACAAACAGTTAACTTGCGGGTTGCGGGTACCTTGACCCGTAAAAGCGTCTGTCTGTTATACTGTGGGTCGCATTTTGTAGCGCGGTTCGGGTCCACTTACACGGGTGTCTGTGAATGAGTGCAAAGTTGAGTAATCACCTTTATCCTCTGATGAAATGTTATTTATCGTGATGGGTGTTGTCTCTTGCAGGATGTCAGTGAGCCTCGGGTATAGTGGAAGGGCTTAATGCCTGTACAGCCACAGCACGTGACAGAAATCAAACCAGTTTCATATTTGCTGAAGAGTTTTGACTCTTCGCCACTCTCGAGACACCAAATGGTGAATGCTGCCAGGAAGAATTCTGTTCCACATGATGGCTGAAGGGCTTACTCACTCCTTTCATTTGGCACCAGCCTGCACACACGTTTGTAGCTCTGGACTTATTGAAACAGCAGTTTTATCTGCACGAGCTCAGACAGCGATCCACCTCTGTGTGTCCGTGTGCTCCACGACTCTGCAGCGTTTCCTCATTTTCCTGTTTCTCTATGCTCCTTCTCATATCCCTGTTGCTCACAGGAACAGCGAGTATCTCGCATTATTCCATGGTTACATCTTGAACCGTTTAGTAAATGAGACAAAACAGTCAAGGCAAGGAATTTCCTGAAGGAAAGCCAGTGCTCTGTAACCCATGATCAAGGAACACACGGGCATTACAGAGCCACAAACTGACCCAGACTTTGTCGCACCTCATTTGTGAATCTCCACTGTGTGGAGTTTACATCAAGCTTTACAACAAGCTGGATTCGATATGTTAATGAGCACCCACGTTAACTATTTAAGATAAATCACTAATAGACTTCAAAGAAATATAAAAACAACAAATTCAGTGAAATAAATAGATCTCCTGACCATTGCTACTTTCTTTGAAATACTTTTTCACAACGGTGAAGAAGGCTTGCTGCAGCTTGTTAGTCAGAAAGGGTGTGGTTCTGACAAAGCTGCTGCCACACATGCATTGAGAAACAGCAGGAGCACTGGGACCTGTTCTGATGGCCAACGAATAATAATTGGATGAGTTTCTCAACAGGCTCATTGTTATGACTTCATAGGGCAATGATGTGTCGCGTTTCTAGGTTGGTGTTTGCTCAAAATGCAGCCGCAACAAGATCTAAAATGCATGTTGGACAGCGCCGGTGGGTAATGCGGTTTCCTCACAGCGAGAAGGCACCTGGTCTGAACCCTGAGTGGGAACTTTCCTCTGGGTCCTCCAGCGTCCTTCCCAGTTAGGTTCACTGGTGACTCTAAATTGGCCATGACTGAGGGAGATAAAACGGTTGAAGGGTACAGAGTGCTAAATTAATGTACAGGTAAAATTGGACTTAAATGTGGTGCATAAAGCAAGATCTGAAAGTGTTTTTTGTTTGTTCTGTTTTAGGGTAAATGACATAATAAACTTTTTAAGAAAAACAGGTTTCTTTTAAAATTACCTGGCTTTCTCTTTTGTTGTTTTTTTTCTTTTCGCCTTTAATTTTTCCCAGTATTCTGACCTGGAGAGTGCCATTGATACACTGGTCAGCCAGTTCCACTCCGCTTCAGCCGACAAGTCTCCGACGCTGAAAAGTGATGAATTCAAAAATCTTTTGTCCTCCCAGATGCCCAATCTGATGAAGGTAAGTCCACCGTAAGCCTCCTTGTGCTTCTCTCTGACCGGGATCGCAGTTATCTGTAGCAAATGGGTGTGGCAGCACACCTAACCATATTCAGCTTGCACAAAGACTAAGGGGAACATGCTTACAACAGAGTTATACAAGCCTAATCCACACACAGGCAAACACACACTAAAAAATGTTAATCCTCTGAAGACATGCACTCCTTTCCATTAATCTAACAGCGTCTCAGCCTAACCTCTGAATACAAACATAACTGCTGTTCTGTAAAAGTTTCTAAGGCAGTCTTACTTGGTTAGACCTTAGATTAGATTTACAAGTAAATTCTGACATGGTCAGGTTAACGGACAGGCATTAAGATTAAAACTGCACACCAGTCTCTCCTGCATCATCAACTCTCTACAGATTCATTTGAAGATTGCTGTAATTTACTGTGACTGAAACATGTTTTTCAATGTTTTTTCATTAATCTCCTCAATAATATAAATCATTTCTATTCATGGTAACAATTCTGTATAAGTCTGTGAGAGTTTTTGGCAGTTTTGTTTTGTTATTTTGTACAAACTTACGGTTCAGCTGTGCTATCAGACAAAATGCCAACATGCACACTTCTAGTATTTAATCATTAATACTAAACTAAAGAGCTCTGAGTGTCAGTAAGACTTGAAAAGCACTATATATTCTCCCCAGCCACTTTGTTAGGTACACCTTTTCATCTGCTCATTAAGGCAATCTAACCAGCCATCACACGTGGTGGTAACAATGCATTTAGGCTGTTGTCAAGAGTGTCTGCTGAAGTTCAAACCAAGTATTAGAATGAGGAAGAAAGGACTTAAATTACAGGCCAGATTGCTTCGATCTGATAGGAAGGTAACAGGAACTTTGATTAAAAAAAGAATGCAGTGGAGCATCTATAAATGCGAAACCACACCAGATGCCAGTCCTGTCAGCTAAGAACAGGAAATGAGGCCACAATTTGCACAGCCTCATCAAAATTGGTAAATAGACTGATTCTTATATAGCACTTTCCTACTCAAAGCACAACTTACCTCATTCACACAAGCACTTTTTCTAGGCCCAAGTCCTTTTCTATTTAACAGTCACGCACATCTTGCCCAAGAATACTTTGGCATGCAGATCAAACCACCAAGCTTCCGATCAGCAGATGATCTGCTCTGCCTCCTGAGCTGCAGCCACCCCAACAAATTGGACAACATTTGAAGATGTTGTCTGACCTTTTGAGTCTTGAGTTCTGCTGCTCCATCCTGCTTTCAATGCATGTAATGGTTTAGGGCCCTTTGTGGTCCCTTAGCATCAGTTGACCATAGTTTATATACCACCGCCTATTTGAAGATTATCGCTGACCATGTAAACCCCTTTATATCCATCTACTGAATGGACTCCACAGTCACCGCATCTCAAGACAAAGTACTACGGCAGCTCTGAGAGGACAAGGTGGATCCAACCCTGTGTGACCAATGTGTACCTAATAAAGTGGGCAAATATTGTATATAGTAAAAGATGAATCCATTTAATTAAACATACAGAGTGAGTCTGTCTAAAAACATGTGAAGATGCAACCCGATTCACGCAGCGTTCCATTGTGATTAGGGTTTATTTACAGTGTTTTTATGTACGAGCAACAGTAGTGTAGGGTTTCAGCTCCTTCCTGCTGGGTCAGCACTCCGGAGCATTCGAAACATCAAACTGTGACACCTCATTCACCTTGCGGTAGTCCAAACAGAGCCGTATAGACCCATCTTTGATCACTGCAAGAATCATGGGGCTACACCAGGCACTGGGGGACTTTCACCCTCATCTTCAGCATCACAGCCAGTTCTGCCCTGAACTATTTGCCTTTTGTGTTCAGGTAGCCTGTAGAGCCGTGATGCACCATCACATCAGGGCACGTCAAAGTGGTGCTCCATGAGCGTGGTGTGACCGGACAAGGGAGAACACATCTGAAAACTACTGCTGCAGTGCAGCAACATTCATTGTCTGGGTCTGTGTGAGTTGGTCGTCACACTGGAGGGAGGCGGGAATCACCAGAGAAGTGGTTTCAGCCACTCTCCATGCTTTGAGGTGATATACCTGTGTGGCTCCTTCCTGGTCCGACCGCATCACTTCAAAATCAACATCCCCCACTCACTGGGTGACTCTAAAGGGCCCTCGTCACTTAACAAGTCATTTTACTGTGGCACTATCGTGTTTTATAATCCACAAGAACTCAAAACAATATCCCAGTGCACTCCTGTGAAATGGTCAGATGGCTCAAATGGGACCTCCATTAACGGTACCGGGTTCAAGTGCCGTCTGGCATAGACAAAAGGCAGATCCTCAGGAAGCATCAATCGTGGTCTTCAGGCACGAGGCCCAGCCGATCCACAACCATCTGTCGGATGTCCTCAAAGCACCAGCTTTACAAAGTTAAATGCATTAAAAACATTAACCCATGGTAAATGAACTGGCGTATCTACCACTCAGAGCTCTTCACACTATAAGGCACATTCACATAGCCACATTCTTACAATGCATGCAGTCTTGAGTGCACAAATACACCGGTGGATGCGTTGGGACCATTTTGGTGCTCAGTATCTTGAGCAAGTCTTGTCAGAGTGTCTTCAGTTGTACTAGTTTTATTCTGGGTAAAATTCTGTCATTTCAGTGCTCCCTGTTTGCGTTTGTTTTTGTCTGATCAGATTTGTCTTAGGTGATATTCCGAACTGTGATCAGTAACCTAACGGTTTGTAATTAACTGGAATGATATTTTCTTGCAAGTCTGGTTTAGGTGTTAACATTTTCACTTTAACGTGAGTTGTTTTGTCGTGTTCTGACAGGGCGTCGGCACCGACCAGGGATTTGGTGATATCCTGCGGAAGATGGGTGTAGGTGATGGCGAGGGGATCTCTTTCAAGCACTTCTGGAATTTAATCCAGTCACTAGCCACCTCGCAGTTTGGCCACCTTAGCGGTCAGAAGGGCTCGTCATGCAGCTGTATTCTCCTGTAAAGAGCAGCTTCTCAGCCCAACACGTATTTGGAAATTTAACTCAGCAGAGTAACACATACACATCACGCTCATAAAGAATTGTCAAACAGAATACAAGGGTTCAAAATCCATTCTAAGCATTGATGACTAAACATTACAGTTTTAACTAGTTTACCTTTGAATTCAGATTGCTTTGTTTAAGTTCAAAGTAAAATGTAAACTGATTTTGAATAAAATACTCAATTTGTCCTCCTTTGTATTATTTTTTTTTTTCATTTATCATGCTGCACATGTTACAATAGCCTAAACCTTATGTGATTAGACACCACAGTGTCACTGGTGTCTGAATGTTCTTCTCTCTTTGCTTCAAGATGCTCATCATATTTAGTTCTTTGGGTGTTTGGTCCAAAAAGTGTTCTACAAATTTTAAAACTATAAATCTTACAAACACCTCTGCTTTGAATAAAAACATACATGGAACTAAGTTGGTTGTTTGAAAAAGAAAGCTGTTAGCTATCGTCAAAACCAGAGTGAATAACTTCTGTCCCGTTCATGTCGCTCCAGTTTGTCATGTTTTTGATTTGCAAAAGTGTTGGGTGCTTTAAAACTGGTCCATATCACTATATTAATGGTCTGCTGGTGTGGTATTTTCAACTTGATATGTATTTCTTAATAGGTCAGAGGTCAACATTTTAAATGGTTAGGTCAATGAAATACAAAAAAAAGGTAAAACATGATTTACTATTTTGGAAAAGGGAACAAAAAACAAGCTCCGCCTTCCCTTGCCTAATAATAGTCACGCCAGGTGACGTTCCAATTATGTGGTCAACTTTAAGAGAGATTTAACATCAAGTCATTGGAAATATTCATCACTTTCAGACCTCTGAAGTGTAGAATTTATTTCCTGGCTTGTAGAAAGTTGACTCGCGAGTAAATTGTTTCTCAGTAACAAAACACGTTGTTTTGTATTATTTCTAATAATAGAATTATATTTGAAATCTCAAATTGTGCCTTTGTGATATTCCCTCATTCTAGAATGCTTTGCCTCTGATTCTGATTTCTGTGTATTTATATTTTATAATTCTCTGTAGTCTGACCTTTGACACCAAAAGAAAAGTGATTTAATGAACATTTAAATAAACATGTAACGAGTTTCCCAATATCACCTGTTGTTACAGCGTTCCTTTGTTGATTTTAAAGAAACATAATTTAACCGGTTTATATGATGCAGTTAAATGTTTAATTTTAGAATAGTGTTGACTTTTCCAGATATTTTATATTTTGACATAAGAAGACATCACAAAAACCTCTGGAGTTCTGTTTTAAATCTTTCATTTTAATGCATCAAGATTTTTCTTTTATTCTTCTAGCTACAAAAGTGAAGTGGTAGATGACTGTGAAGCATTTTTTAGTTTTATGTTGTAATTCATCCAGAGTACAGTATTTTTAGCACAGAAAAATATTGTAACTGTACAATGAAAACAATGAAGTGGACAATATGAACTGTTACATCAGCATTATGGATTCATATTCCCATGCAAAGAAGGTGCACATCCTCTTTTGAGTTTTTTCCCCTCGGGCGTACCTCGGAAGAATTCAAGATAAGATGAAAATGCGTACTTATTCATGACTTTAACCCTCCCAAAGATATCTAGCTCTGTTTGCTCATCATGGTTAATAGCACTCATAATCTGCTTTGATTTAATGTACAGTGCATTTTCCTTTGCAACAACTTGATCTAACCAAATCTGCATGTTCTGTGGTGCCATTTCAAAGTTGTCAACAGCACAGCCATAGAATCCTCGTTTCAAATGTTCAGGCCAGGGTTGATCGGTTATCATGGGGTGGTCATCCCTCACAAATGCTGTGCACAAGGGACTGTCACTTCCTCGTGAGTGGCCTACTTCACAACCAATGACAGTCATGAGGAAAAGTGAGAAGGTTCTGAAGTTACGCACCGATGCTGAAAACACAGCTGCCATAAAATAATGGCCCCATCGCTCACAGTTGTAATTACACTGCTGAAACTGGAAGGTTTGGCGACAGAAGTCATTGAATTTTGATGGTTTGAGACCCTCTCTCAGCTTCTCCAGGGAGGACTCGTCCTGCTGGTCCTTAAAGCTATGAAGAAAATTTTGAATTTCCACTTGATTGTCAGGATTCATGAATTTTCCCACCAGAGTTGCATTCAGAGTTTTCCCGTTTACTTTGTAAATGCATTCATTGAGAACGTAGTAAAGGTCCAATGGAATTTCTTCTCTGGCATTGTACCGTATCTCCACTAGCAGATGTTGAATGCTTATGATATGCTTCAGGATAATGTTGTCTTCTCCTGCTGCTGGCTTTTCTAGCCAAATTGCTTTAAGGTGTCTTGAATCATCTGTGGTATAATCAGGAGCACGCCTTCTTTCGTTTTCCTCAAAAAACAAGCTCCAAGTCAGCCCCTCCAGGCAGTCGATAAAGTGATACTTTTTGCGCAGTTCCATTGGGACAAACATTTGCGGGTGGCTTGGCCAGTCCAGTATCTGCAGATACAAAATATTTCCTTTATAATTGTGAAATACTGGTCCTGGACAGCCAAGTTCCTTTTTTATCACCAGATCACCTCTTTGGTTTAGTTCAGCTTTGACTGTGCTGTAGTGCTCATGGGACCTCCAGACACCGTTAGTTGTCGTCAGTATATCACCATCAGAATTAACTGACAGGAGTGTGTTGTATAGGCTGAGCTTTGTTTCCACACTAAAAGACCGGAGACTTTGTAGGAACTGCAACATGAAGTGTTGGTCATTTCCAATATTGCAGCTTATGAGCCTGATGGTACCAAGATGACCAATGTTTGTTTTAGTTTTTAAGATGAAAACAAATCTGGCAAGTTCCTTTGGGTCATAACCAGCTAACTGGGCTGCTCCAGTAGGGCTTTGACTACCATGGCCAACCAGTACAATGTCATGATTTCTAGTCGAAAACAAATTGCTTCCTTGCAGAACGTACAGTGCCCTCTTATGGTACATTAGCAGATTTGATGAACTGGGATGCTTCTGGAACAGGTAAGTGGCTGACTCAATCACTGCAGGTTCCTCTTCCATGATTACTATCGTTTGATGGCTGTATTTTGTGTCATTTTCCCTGAGGATTACATGAGTTTTGTTAGACATTAATTATGCCTCAAATTGTTATTGTATGTGAATGTATAACTTTCTGACTAATTTAAATAAACTGGAATGATTTCATCTATCACATAAGAAAAAACAAGTAGGCAACACCCAGTTAAAGAAAACACTGCATGATTTTGGCAATTAGTTATTCTCTGACATTGTGTTGGTATTGTGAAATGTCTGAAAATCACAATCAACATGCCAATTTTGATTTGAAGTCCCATTTTGGGCTTTCCAATTTGTCTGCATTATTACTGTTTTTACTATTAGAGTTATTGGAAATGCATCCGTCCATGATCTGGTGCCATATCGCAGGGCCAGCAGTCAGCCACCTCTTCCTACTCATCCAACAAAACACAGATGGGTTCCCAGGCCAGCCAAGAAATATAATTTCTTTGGCGTGTCCTGGGTCTAACCTGGTGCCTCCTCTCAGTAGGACATACCCAGTACACATCATCCAGTGGGTTTCCAGGGGGCATCCTAGTCAGATGCCAGAACCACCTCAACTGGGTCCTTTCGATATAGAGGCGTAGCGGTTCTACTCAGTCTCTCTGAATGACTAAATTTCGCACTCTATCTCTATGTCTCTGATCCGAAGTGGGAACTCCACCCTTTTCCGGCTGACGACCATGGCCTCATTATCCCCAAAAAGCAGAGATGAGATCTGAGTTCCTTTCCAGTATGCTGACATAGACCTTGCTCGGGAGGCTGGGGAGTGTGAGACCCCTTGTAGAAGATGCATGGTGACCCGACCACATTGTCACATCTTTCCACACTTTCTTTTATTTTGGTTGTTGTTTCTTTAACACTCGGCCGCAGCTTTTCAGC